CAGGGGGGATGGTCACGCCGCAATCCCTTCTCCATTCTCCTCTCGGGATCTTGGGCATGCACGCACATGCGCCCGGCGTGAGTTTTAAGCCACCGGGTCTGGGACGTGAACTGCGGTCAACTACTTGGGAGTCCAGCGACATAGCCATTACGCTAACTGCTGATTCCCCCCCCACCCCCCCGCATGAGTTTTAAACTGCTTGGTCCGGGACTTGAAACGTGGTTGACTATGTGGGAATCCAGTGATCTGACCATTACGCTATCTGCTGGTCCTATATTTATATTCTTTTTTTTTTTTTCTTTTTTTGGAGAGGTTTTTTGCTATAGGGCGCATGCACTTGCCGGAAAGACAGAGACAGACAGAGAGACAGAAAGTGAGAAATCACCCCCCAGGGGGGATGGCCACGCCATAATCCCTTCTCCTCCATTCTCCTTTTGGGATCTTGGGCACACGTGCACACGCGCCCAATGTGAGTTTAAGCCACCGGGTCCAGGACTCGAACCGCGGTCAACTACATGGGAGTCCAGCGACATAGCCATTATGCCGACTGCTGGTCCCTATACTTTATGTTCTTGATCCCTGCCCTGCTCCCCAACCCCACATAAACATTGCATAGTGCTTACTGTGTAGACTGGTTCAAGTTTGACTCCTGGCTCTACAGCTTACTGTGTGTAAGTTACTGCCCTTATTTGGAGCCTCAGTTTCTCGATTGTGTGTCAGCCCCTACTCAGTGTGGTGGCGAACATCGCAGGCTCGCATAATACACCTGAAGCGCCCTGTACAGTTTAGAAGTAGCAGGCAGGGTGCCATTGCACTGGCTGTCACAAGGCCTGGGACTCAAACCGTGGCTGACCGTGTGGGAGTCCAGCGCCTTAGCCACCACGCCACCTGCCAGCCCTGGTAATGGACTTCTGAAGACTGCTCACCAGTGGTGTTGTCTCTGTCTCCTCCCAGGTGTTTGAGAGACAGCTACAGCTGGCCGTGTCTCTGAAGAAGCCCTTGGTGATCCACTGCCGAGAAGCTGACGAAGACCTGCTAGGCATCATGAAAAAATTCGTGCCCTCTGACTACAAGATCCATAGGTTAGAAGTGTGCGCTTCAGCGGGCAAATGGGAGTCACGTCCCTGGTCTTAAGGACGTTCTTCGGAGGAGAGAAACCTCCATCAGGAAAGCAGCCGTGTTGAAGTGTTGTCTTGAGTTAGTACACTCTCTCTCTCTCTCTCTCTCTCTATATATATATATATATAAAATACGTATTTATTTCTTTCTTTTTTTTTTTAGTCTGAAAGTATAATTTATTCATGAAAAAGCCTATAATTCATTTTCCCACCAGCTATTTCACACTCGATTTTCCTAAGAGTTTCATTCAGTAGGAGTTAGCTATTTCCAATGTTAACATCGATTCTCACCTCCTTCCCCTCATTTACCGATTGTAAGTTTATGTCTCACAGAATCGCTCTGTCTACTGTCTGAGCCACTGGGGCCATGGCATTTTGTGGTAGCAGCCTGAGCTGAGGTCCCTCTACCTTAATTTCCCCAGTTAACCACACATGGCGGCGTAGGGTTGTTACATATGGGGTTAAAGGGTGGGAAATCTTTCACTTTTTTTCATCATACTATGCTTCCACACATTTTCTTGATTGTGACTTAAATAACTGCTCCGGGTGGACAGGGAATAGGGAGAAATCGGTAGCATAATCGAAAGTGTAGTGAGTGAGAGACTGAGGAAGACGGCGCTTAGGAGCTCCAGTAGTATTACAGGAAGCCCGAGTGACACGTGGAGCATACCAAGGCCAGAGGGCAGCTTCAGCAGGGAATACTAAGTAGGAGAATTGACCAGAGCCCAGGGAGACCCAGAGCTTCAGCAGAGGCAAAGTGGCAACAGCCCTAAGGGCCATAGCAGAGGAAAGCAGGCCAGGCCTCCTCTGAGGACAGCAGGGTTGCCTGCAGGACCACGGTGCCCTGACTCTTCTCTCCTAGTCTGTGTCTTCCTGCTGGCACCATATTTCTTTATTTTATTTTAGTTATTTTTATTTTTTGAGAGATTTTCACTATAGGGCGCGTGCGCTCGCCAGACAGAGAGAGACATAGAGACAGAAAGCGAGAAATCACCCCCCAGGGGGGATGGTCATGCCGCAATCCCTTCTCCTCCATTCTCCTCTTGGGATCCTGGGCATGCACGCACACGCGCCCGGTGTGAGTTTTAAGCCACCGGGTCCGGGACACGAACCGTGGTCGACTACGTGGGAGTCCAGCGACATAGCCATTACACTAACTGCTGGTTCCCCCCATATTTCTTTATTTTTTAAAAATTTTGCCATGAGGTGTGTGAGCTCACCAGAGAGAGGGAAAGCAATGAATCATCCCCCATGGGGAATGGTCATGCTACAATCCTTTCTCTTTCATTGCTTCCTCCTCTTGGGATTTTGGGCATGCACACAAATGCACAAACCCAGAGTGCTTGTTAAGCTGCTAGGTCTGGGTCTTAAACCACACAGCCTTCCACGTGGGATCCAGCTGCCTTAACCAGCATGCCGCTGACTGGCCCTCTATACTGTCTTTTCTGAAGAAGTAAGAATTACACTGAACCTTGGGAACTTTCTGATGTTGGGCCATTTTTTGCTTGTTAAACAGCAACTTCGTATTGGTTCAGCCCAATACCCTGAATCACACTGACCAAGGAACCAAGAAGGTGGTTTCATGACCCCGAGCTGATGCCCTAAAGCTGCAGGGGAGTAGCTGGTGAGGCGGGTAGGGCTGCTGAGCCCTGGCTGCTGCCGTCGGTGCCTGCGCTGAGGGCGTGAAGCCTCTGACTCCCGGCGGAGGCGGCACACCCACCCGGCACGAGGCATGGTTGCTCAGCTCTTCTGAGCTGGTCGGTGGTTTTTTCATTGCTTTATTTTGGGAAATTCAGTGGTGGTAGAAGACAGGGCTAGATGGCCCAGGGAGGTATTCTGGCTGGAGAGAGCCCTGAATTGTCAGCTTGGCTAACTGTGTGTACCATAATGAGATCGTGAGCAGGCATCAAATTACAATTCATCTGTAGTTCCATTCCCCAATATTTTAATTTTTGGTTTTCTCCTAGTTCATCCCATTATAAAAACAGAATTTTTAACATACTACAGTTGTAATCTTAGAGTTTTCTTTTTAAATAATTATCTAGCTTTATTGTTATTTTTATTTATTTTGATTTGACCATAGAGGGACAGAGTGAGAGGGAGAGAAATAAAGTGAGACAGCAAGCCATCAGGTCCAGGGCTTGAACCATGGTTGACCATGTGGGAGCCTGCACCCTTAACTACATGCCTCCTGCCAGCCCTGAGTTCTTTTGTTTTTCTTTTTTTAATCTGCTAGAGGGTGTGTGTGTGCATGAGAGATCAATACAGAGAAAGTGAGAAAGCATCCCCCATGAGGGGTGGTCACACCAAAGTCCCTCCATTTCTTTCCCTTTTGGGATTTTGGACACACAAACATGCCTGGCATGGTTTTCAGGCCCCCAGCTCTGGAACTCAGACCGCGTTGCTGGCCATAGCTGGCTGCGTGGGATCCAGCCACCTAGCCACTTTGTTACCGGCCGCCTCCTTAGGGCCTTTTATTTCTTTTAGAGAGATTTTTGCGATAGGGCGTGTGTGTGTGTTAGAGGGACAGAGACAGAGAGCGAGGGGTATGGCCACACCACAGTCCCTTCTCCGTTTTCCTCTTGGGGTTGTGGGCATGCATGCACATGCGCCTGGTGTGAATTTAAGCCATTGGGACCGGGACTCAAACCACAGTCCACTATGTGAGAGTCCAGCGACGTAACCATCGCACCAAGAGCCTTTTAAATTCTGGTCTCTTTGCACGTGGTTTGCGTGCCCTAACCCTGTAGTTGCTGTGTGTTCTTCGTGGTGCGTATTCTGTAATGTGCTGGGTGGTGGTGGAGGCTCACTCACCAGGTGTCGTCTTGGGTCTCGTTGGGTTGGAACCAGCTCTTGTCTGTGCTTCCCGAGGATCTTTCTGCTGGATGTGTCTTCTGACCCGAGAATCCTATAGAGGGGTCACAGATCCGGGGGACTGTGAGCAAGCCCTGACCTGCACTTCTGTCCCCCAGGCATTGCTTCACCGGCAGCTACCCTGTCATCGAGCCCCTGCTGAAGCACTTCCCCAACATGTCTGTGGGCTTCACTGCCGTCCTGACGTACTCCTCCGCCTGGGAGGCCCGGGAAGCTCTGCGGCAGATCCCGCTGGAGAGGATTATTGTGGAAACTGACGCTCCCTACTTCCTCCCTCGCCAGGTACCGTGTCTTCAGGCTGAGCATAGGTGTTGAGAGAGGAGGGGAGGTGGCAGTCACCCTGACAAGGTGGGCAGGGCTCGGCCCCAGTGACTGCCAGGCCCCGTCGGGGCTGTGTAGCTGTCTCCTCGTTGTTGCTCTGCAGAACCAGGAGCCTAGGGGGCTGAGAAGCTGAAGGGTAACCACTCTCTTCCAGGCAGTGCAAAGCCCTACCCTGTAGAGGGTAGTCCAAGGAAGCGTGGGACCCTGCTCACCCAGAGCCCCCCATGACTAGGACTCTCCCTGCACCTGCAGGTAAAGGGGTCTCTACAGGGCAGCCCCAAGAGGTCCTTGCTGGGGAAGGGATGGGGAGGGTGTCTGTTACAGCTGTGCACGGAGGCACCATGACGGTATGAATGCTTGGTGTCTTCCAGGTTCCCAAAAGCCTTTGCCAGTATGCCCACCCAGGCCTGGCCTTGCACACCGTCCGCGAGATCGCCAGGGTCAAAGATGAGCCACTCTCCCGCACCTTGGCCACCTTACGTGAGAACACCAGTCGGCTCTACAGTCTGTAGACAGCGAGCTCAGGCAGGAGTCTCCTGGGAAAGGTCATTACAGTCGCGTTCTTTGTTAAAGACCGGGATGAATAAGTCTGTTGCTACAGTTTCTTTCTTTTCTCATTTGCTAAAGGGTGTGTGCACTTGCTAGGGAGAGAGTGAGAGGAGGAAAGTGAGAAAGCTCCCCCCACGGGGGATAGTTACACTGCAGTCCCTTCTCTCTCCCTCCTTTTGGGGTTTTGGGCATGTGCGCACACACTCCTGGCGTGTTTTTCAAGCTGTTGGGTCTGGGACTTGAAGTGTACCATCAGCTGTGGGATTTCGTGCCTTAAGTACTTTTTTCTTTAATGCAGAGAATGGTCATAGCATGAGCATTAAACCTGCTGGTCCTGAGCGCCCTTGACTTGGCATCTTTTCTTCCCTCTTCATCTCTAGAGTGACAGCAGCTTGACCTGACGTAGGCCTGGTCCGAATGCTGCCTGTTCCCAGGCCACGGATGTGTTTGGAGAGCCCACCGGACAGAGGAAACCTGGACAGGATGTGTTCCTCAAAACCCGTCATGAGGCTTCACCTCGTGGCTGGCGGGGAGGGGAGTGGTGTGGTGGGGTGCCGAGGATGTGCCGTGGGGGTAAGGGGACTGCTGGGAATGTCCTCGGGCTTCGCCTCCAGACCCAGACGCCCCAGGGTAGTCAGTGAGGACGTGTGATGCCAGTGCAGACTTCTGTCCGCAGCTCGTGTGTCCGAAT